GAATTGTATATACATCTATGAAACAGGAAAAAAAAAAAAGAGGAAAACTAAAACAGCCCAATTCTGCGCCTCACCATATAATCATATCCTTCAACAAAACTCCTAATCGCAGTAATACTTATCGGCTAATGCTACTTCTATCTAAGATTTCCAGACATTAACCACACAACTAGCGGATAGAAAAACGAAGGGCAGCTATATAGAACACACAGAAACTCAGCAGCTTACAGAACAACAAAAAAAACGCAAATGTCAATAACATATCACTACACTTCATCTAATCTGATCATATTTCATGGAAGAAAGTGGCCAAACAATGTGGAGTGATTATCATGGGCAACATTGAAAGCAGGATGCAGCCTTCGCTAGCAATTGAGTACAAATGTAAAGATAAAGCATACGAAAAATTCCCGTCCACCACAATATTAAATCATCGACTAGATACAGAACAGTCCATTTCCTATAACATTCAAACCCCATTCATAAAACCCCTATTCAATAGATCAGAAAATGCCGAAATCCGGGCAACAAGATGAGCCACGGAATTTCCCTTGCAAAACCATAATATGATATAACTATAAATGTGGAGAGACACAAAGTTTCAATCTTATTTTCCCAAACGCGAAAAAACAGCATACAGTTTCTGAATATAATAAACCCCAATAAAACAAAACCCTAATGAAGACAGAACAAAGGAGCCAAGGCAATTCATCAAACACCTTGAGATACAAATTACTGCAAACTACATTGAGGTATAAAGCACCTGAGCGACGCCGATTATGAAGCTCCGGAACTTGGGATGTTTCCCGGCCTCCTTCTTCAGCCTGGCGGCGACCGGTTTGCTCAGGGTTTTCAGGGCAAGCGTCCCGAGCTTCAACAGAGGAAGGACCATTACTGATCTCTCTTTTCTTGACTGATTTTGTTTTGATCGTCTTCGATTTTGTTCCGGATTGAACAGAAGCTTGGAGCTTAAAATACACCGTCGATGGTGAGTAAACGGGGGTTTGACAGGTTCCAAGAAGGTGGGTTCCTTGAAAAGGAAGGCGAAAATGCGTGCATCCCAGGCTTTGAGGAGGAGTTTGAAGAGAGCTTGGTGAGGAAAACGTGGTTTCTGACTATGGCGGAATTGGGGTTTGGGGGTGATCAGGATCGTTGACCCGGTTTGTGTTGGTTGACTGTTCAACCCAAAATCTTCTTTTAAGATGGCTTAAACCTAAACATTTGGGCAGTTTGGATATGGGAATATATGATTCTTGCTTTATTATATGTGATTGAGTTTAGAACGTATTTTAATTTTAATTGTCATTATTTAGAATTTTTTTTAAAAAAAAATTTAATTTTTCATTAAAAATATTGCACGAAGGAAATTTATAATAAAACTAGTATAACACCCGTGTATTACACGGTTGCTTGCTAATTTTTTTCTTAAAATTTAAAATTAATGAGAAAAAAATAGTTGAGAATTTAAATACCTTTTACAAAAAATATATCATTATATGTTTAGTATAACACTTTTTATTTGTGCGACTTACCAGTGTTATATTATAATAATTTTTTACTTACAACATATAACTACATTAAAAATAAATATATCAATTGATAAATAATTTTATTTTTCTAATCAATTTTAATAAATATTATTATTTTTTATTATTATATATATAAATATAATTTATTTATTTAATATATAAAATATGGATATCAAAACGAAGATCATCAAAAGATGATTAATTTGATATATAATATATGTAAAACCGATAAGAAATAGAAAAGTTATCAACTTTTAAAATATATTTACAATTCAATAGCTAATTGAAGGAAAATAAATCAAAGTTAGTGATATATTAGTCACTTAGTGCCTCATTATGTAAAATTAAAAATAATTAAAGGGTTATATTAGTACAAGTGATATAAAATACCTAAGTTAGATAAATAATATTTATGGAATGTCCGAACCTAGATTATTAATTATTAATATATCAATATTATTTGTCCAAACCTAATTACGAAGCATGATTCTTC